GGTCATGTATATCCATCTAGCCCCGTATGACGTAAAGGGTCGGGTGTATCCGTCCATTGTTGCATGACGTTAAACTGATTAAAGGGCTATATGGTTGTAAGAGCTAAACATGCTAATTAAAAAATTGTTTTTCAAAATATGTTTCTCTGTTCGAAATAATACACTATATGTCTTGTGTTTTCAAAAACTTTAATTTATTTGTTAAAATCGTAACTTTCCAAAGCTCTTAGTTCTATTTCAAAACTCTTTCTATTTTTAAAATTTTCTAAAACGTATTTTAAAACAAAGGAGCTTGGACACCCGTATATGATGATTAACGCGTTACCACCTCATCTCTCATCTCTCTCTTCAGAATTGACCAGGCAAATATTTTCTTAAACAAGTAAAACCTATATAAGACCTTAGGAAACCCTAAGGAAATCAAAGAAAGTGTCAGGTCCAAGAATTTAAAAGTGAAACCTCTGAAGTTATGTGACATGACCAGAAAATCCAACTCAAGTTCTAAGCTTGCGTAAATCACTGGAACATCTCACATGAAAAACCCTATGATGAAAATGCCCTAGGTGCGTGAGCGGGAAGCGCATTGTCTTGGAGGGAAAGTTGGTGTGCCCTTTGATCATGTGACATTAGATAAATTTAAACTCCTTAGACTCTGAAAAATTGTAGGCCAAGAAACTTGATATACTAAGAAAACTCCAGACCTAGGAAGACTTTAACTTTAGGCCATTGAACCTGTAGCACTTAGGTTAAGAAAACTATCCAACCAAGCCAAAGCTTAGTCAAAATTTGAAGATAAACAAAGATGACGCACAACATAAACTCAGTCAGTCCTGATACGGGCGAGGCCTTGCGAGTTTCGGGCCAACTGGCCGAGTTAGGTATATTTTACTCTTTCCTGCATTTCCTTTCATTTTTTTTGTTTATTTTATTAAAATGAAATCATTTTTATTGTATTTGGTGAGTATTTCCTATTTGGGATCAATGATGGCTCTGCCACTGATCTGAGAGTAGATCTGCTCATTTTTTAGTAGATATGGCCTTAGATCAGAATTTGATTATCTCATTCTCTATCACTCTTAAAAAAAATCAGTTTGTAGTTCGGATATAGTTGAATCCCATCTTGAGATCATCCTGATTTGCAATGTAAACATAATTGTTATACTAATTATAAATATACTTCCCTATTAAAGTTTATGGCATCCAAATATAAGAAAGAAATATTTAACTATTTTTCATAAATTAGGATTGAAAATATATATGTGAGATCTGGACCTAGACTTGATTGGACCCTGACCCGAATAGCGTTTGAGTCTAAGATTTGGACCTGGACCCAACCCGCCAAGTCCATTTTTTGTACCAATACCCAGATCCAAGTCAGGTTCACCCATTGGGTCCTGGATCCCCCGGTCCATTGTCACCCCTACATCTAACTCTGGCAGTTCATGTCTTAGGTCACTATGTTTAACTCAGAACTAAAATGAGAAAAAAAAATAAAAAAGGACACAGTTTTTATGCGGGCAAGCCCCCATATGTAGAAATGCGGGCCTCTTAATAAATCTATTTTTTAGATAGACTTTAAGACTTAATTTTTAAGGATATGTAGTCTCTCACATGGAGATCATGAATATAAAAAAATAAATTTATTTTAAACATTAGAAATAATAATTCTAATAAGAAAACATTAGACCATTAGTGTCCAATTTTTTTAGATGGAACACCTACTTGCATCCATCTTTAAAATGGACGTTTTATACTTTTTGGACCACATATGTAGAAATGCAGTCGAACCCGCGTAAAACAAATTTCCTAAAAAAAAAATGGCCAAATCTGGGCTCCTTGAAACGATGTCAACCAGCCTTCAGTCGCACTCTAACTTGGGCGGTCCTGAATCAGACTTAAATCACCGACTTAAAACGAATAATATGCGCAGTTTGTTTTCCCAAATTTTGGAAAACCGGATGGAGTCAATTTTATACGAAACTTAAAAATAAAGATTTTAAAGTAAATAGTCCGGTAAAATCCAAATTCCCTAATAATTAGGTAAGTCTATTCAATTTAAAGTTTGGATACCCAATGAAATATCATGTTGCCACTTGGACAATGCTTAACTTCTATATATGGATAAGAAAAAGTTTAAAAATTCTATATTGTTAGATTGAAACAAAATAATGTTATTTTATGAGTCCTTTCACATCAAAGTGGAATCTGGTTCCATTTAGACACGACCAACCCAAAAGTGGAAATTGTAAACTAAACCCAAAACTTACCACTGAAATCTCTCTCCCTCCCTTGATTATCACTAAAATCAGTCTCCCTCAAAATTACCACGCTAATTATTTCTAAAAACTGGTAGGGATCTGTATTTTCCACCGTTCTACCAAAACAAAAAAAGCGGATTGACAGGCCCCTCTAAAAACCGGTTTGGATTGGGATTCTCAATCCAACAATTTCGATTAAGTATTTTGGCCAATAAAAACATAAAATTAAAATAAAATATTAAAAAAATAATAATTAAAAAAATACAAATCGGCTAGTTCTATAACAGAAACGACCAACATAGTAAGAAAACTAAACCGGTCATATCCATTCCTGATAGAAATGGAATGATTCCTATCCTAATCTACATTTTTTTGTAACCTTGACTAAAACTCTCTCTCTCTCTCATACCACTAAGACTCTTTCTCTCTCAAAATTACCGCTAAAATTCTCTCTAATAGAATTACTGTTAAGACTCTCTTTCTCTGCCTAAAACTATAATAATCTTTTAACCACTAGAATTTCTCCCCCCTAAAAATTACCTCTATAAACTTTATTCCACTTTCTCTCTCTCTAAAAACCTAATTTTCTCTCTCTGAATAACCCTATTAGCTGGAGGCCATAGTACTCATCATTACCCAACCTCCTATTGTCATTGAATCTAGTCACTAATCACTGATTTCGGCTGAAATCTCGAAACTTTTATTCGCCTTAATTAGTAAAAATTAGAATATTTTTAGTAGGAAAGATACTAAGTGTTTTTATGGAAGTTTAAGGAAATTATTATTTGGTGATTTGATTTAAATGAAATATTCCACTTTCAATGGATTTGAGGCAGTGTTAATTAGAAATAAAAATGTGGATTTGCCTGCTAATAATGGAAAATTTGATATCCACATCCCTAATAAATAGACTGATTTGCACGATTGTTAGGTCAGCTCATATAATTATTTTCCTTAAGAGAAAGGTCGGAAATACCCCTGCGAAATTAATAACGTCATCCATATCCTACTTTCCATTTTGTGAACCTTATTTGTTTATTCCAATATATTATCATTTAATTTTTTATTTTTTATTAAAATATATTATCATTTAATTTTTTATTTTTTATTAAAATATATTATCATTTAATTTTTTAAGACTTTACTCATGTAGCTCCCTCTAAATAATTAGGATAAGGTTTGGACGGTGATGGTGAATTTCTAAAAAAAAAAAGTTTATAGCCGGTCGAGGCTTTAAACAATCAAATTTGAGCCTACTTCAAAACTTTCACTAGAAGATGTTGTTTTGATCCTCAAATATCCTCAAATTGATCATCTCGACATCAACATGCATGGGCATGAAAAAAAAATGGATTTCAAGTTTTGAAAATAGTGTATTTTGTAACGCATTTTTGGACCGTCAATTTTCAAGATTTTCAAGTTTTTATAGATATGTCGATCTACATTCTTTTTTAAGCTTTAAACCTTGTAAATAAAGATGGAAATATATTTTAAGAATTTCACAAAGATTTCCAATATTGAAAATGTATTTTTTGATACTATTTGAAAGTAAGCTCTAATTTGATTGTTTAGAGCCTAGGCTCTATAAACCGCACCCGTCTCCCAAACCTCATTGTTAATTAAAAAATACACAATGGAGGAGCTCTTGTTTCCTTCTATATTTTATCCAAGTCAAAAGAAATAAGTTTTGTAGCATAGAATCACACATGCAGAATACGACCAACATTAGTCCTTAGTACTACGATGTTAACAAGGGACGGTCGAGATCAATGCTCAAAAAGTCGAAAAGAGGTTTAAACCTGATTTCCCTCAATACGACGCACCTGAGAGATCCAAACTTAAAAGAAAATGCGGGCTGGACTGCATATCTACAATATACCGTCTAGAGGTATAAAGCATGCAAATAGGTGGTCCACCCAAAAACATCAAACTCCCTCAATACGACTCATATAAGAGATCCAAACTTTCTAACAAGAAAACTTAAAAGGAAAATTGTTTCATGTAGGATGGGCCCGTATTTCTACAATATGCAGTCTAGAGGTATAAAACATCCATATTAAAAATGGATGCAAATAGATAGTTCATCTAAAAACAAGTGCAACAAACGATTTAACTGTTTTCTTAATATAATAATTATTTTTAGTTTTCAAAAAATTTTCATATTCATGATCTTCATGTTAAAGATTATATATTCTCTAAAAATTGAGATCAAATTATATTTAAAAAATATATTTATTATCAAACCTGTATTTCTACAATGTGAGGGCTGGCCGCATAAAAACTGTGTCCAAACTTACAAATTTCAAATAATCTAGTGTTTGGACGACTCGGGGCATCTCGACTCAATATCGATACCTCACATGATCTAAAATTAGATAGTGAGCTACAGTTCATCTCTACCGTCCCTTGCAAGCATAGATGGATGAGGAGGCTACGTGTATCACATTTTTTTATGCTACTTTTAGCGTATCTTTTTTTTTTAATGCACATATTACGGATATCAGCAATCTTGAACCTAAAGGACATGCTTAACATTACAATATTTGTCAAGGTCATGCAAGGCCACAAAACATGCCATCCTCGAATCTTCATCGTCCATTACTAATCACCCTGCACGAGCGAATCACTCGTGTGGAATATAGCACGCCTAATCCAACGTGGTAAGAATTTGCGGTTAAGCCCTAACCATGGTTAAATCCGCATCGGGTTAACTACGGACACTTGTATGGCCATGCTTCATCATCCCATGAAGATTTTTAATCCCTCGCCCTCCTCCATGGCACTGATCCCTCTCTCTCTAACTTGCACTCTCTCTCTAAATTTCCCCTCGCTAATTTTCCTGTAAGAAAAACCCAAGTCCAAAACCCTTCAACTGAACTTTCCGGCAAGAACACGCCGGCAAACCCAGCCCCAAAATCCTAATCCAAAGCAATCTCTCTCTAGCTTTGATGGCATGGATCTAAGCGGTGGAAAGGCCCCTGAGATCCCAGCCGTCCGATTCACTGACACCAAGTCCATCAACGGCCGGAAACTGCCGAGGATCCTCTACAGGGAGTGCCTGAAAAACCATGCTGCCAGCCTCGGCGGCCATGCCCTGGACGGTTGCGGCGAATTCATGCCGATCTCCGGCGAAATTTTGGCCACGGGTATCTCGCCGGAGGACCTCAAATGTGCCGCCTGCGGCTGCCACCGCAACTTCCACCGCCGTGAAATCGAGGGCGCCGATAGCCGTGGTATTCTCTGCGATTGTTTCGTGAAAAATAGCAGAAAACGATCGCCTCCGCCTTACTACCAGGCGAGCTCTTTCAACTCAGCACCCCACATGCTGCTAGCCCTGAGCGCTGGTTTGCCAGAGGGCGAGCAGGAAGTTAGAGAGAGAAAGTTGGTAGAGAGAGAAAGCAATGGAAATGGGAAGGAGGAGGGAGGAACGAGGAAGAGGTTCAGGACCAAGTTCACGGCGGAGCAGAAGGAGAAGATGTATGGGTTTTCTGATAAATTGGGGTGGAAGATGCAGAAGCAAGACGAGGGTTTGATTCAGGAGTTTTGCGATGAGATTGGGATTAGAAGGTCGGTTTTGAAGGTTTGGATGCATAATAACAAAAGCACTTTGGGTAGGAAGGATCCACATCTCAATGGTAACGCTTCTTCTTAGTTTCTCTCTCTAAAATTATCTCTCTCTATCTTCTCTTTGGTTTCTCGTTTTCTCTATCTTTCTTTGGTTTTTTTATTGATGGAATGGCAAGAAAATGGGGAAAGGTCGAAGAGGTGAAGAGAAAGAAAACCCATTTCACAAATTACTAAAATAGAGAGAGAAAACCCATTTTTCAGGCGGATTATTTATGTTGAGGTCTTCACTAATGAGGCAAATTGTTATTACTTGTGCATCTTGTATTTTCTGCTTCCTTTTCTATATTTTGTTCATTTTTTTTTTTTGTTTCTTTTTCACCGCCCCAAAAAATGGGCATGTTTTGATATCGAGGATTAATGGAGTTTTGAAACCCCAATAGCTATTGGTTTCCATTTTGGTTCTACCACTTTGGGCACCACTTCTTTTTGTAACGTCTGAATAATTTGGGATGCTGTACTCTTTGCTGTAGAGAGAGAGTACTAATGGAGTTGAATATATATATATATATATATATATATATATGAGAAAGAGAGATTACTGATTTTAAGTAGACATTAATCTACAATACAATTGCTTAACTTTTGGGACCAACATGAGGCATTTTGAACTTTGATAATAAGTTGATTTAGCGACTTGATCATGGATATTATCTTTGATTAGTTGGTAATTAATACTGTAATCTTGGATTTTATTTTGAGCATCAAAACAACGTGTGAAATTCCTTTTGTTTTTGAACAATTGGAAAGGAAATAGGATTATGTATGTAACCATTTCATCTGATTTGGAAATTTAGAAAAGAGATTAAACCAATGCATTTTATGTTATAGGAAACCCGTAAATAAATAGCTGTTGATTTTAAATTGCAATTTTAGCTTGCAATATGTGGTTTCTCACTGATCACTAGAACTGAAAGTTTACAATTTGCTCTAATTCTCAGGGAAAATATTTGAAAATGCAGTACTTATCATGATGAAATGGTCTTACATTTGCCTATCTTTATGGTCTGCCAATAATTTCTCTCCCCCCCTTCTCTCTCTCTCTCTCTCTAATGCTCAGATGTTACCCTAATGTGATACTCAACTTGATCAGATGGTCTTAGATTTTCTATTACTGGTAATCTAAACCTCTTTCTATATCTCTTACTAATAAGCTAGACCTCTCTCTCTCTCTTTAAAGTTCACAAGTTGCTCTCTTTTTTTTCCTTTTTTTTGTTGAGAAAATTGTGGTACTTATCGTGATCATATGGTCTGAATTTTTCTGCTTTTTATTAATCTATTCCTACCCCCCTCCTCTCTCTCTCTCTCTAAAATATCTCAGGTTCATCCTTATTAAAATACTCATTTACTATTATTGAGCAAACCATCACCTGATGTGTTGCCCTCGCTACCACACAAGCAACCCAAACTAAAGGTCAAGATTAATCATCACTAAAATTCTTAGCCTTGCTTTTATTCAGCAAACCTCACTCGCTCTCTTATTGGTCACAGACCCTTGATAAATTATTGGTTCTCTTTCCTCCATTGCTTTCTTTGTTGCCTTTCCTTTTCTTGCACTGCTCTTTTTCCTTTTTCAGCAATCTTAGAGATCCTCTAACTTATAATGTTTTCTAATTCCTTCCTCAAATGGACGTAAATCTCTTGTCTATGTTTTTTTTTTTTAATTCAGTAAGGCAAATGGGCCTTACCCGTTTTTCAAAATAGCGTAGGAGTTGTTTTTTTGTTTTTTTTTGTTAACGGGAAAGGTTTCTATACTTTCCTTATAACATAGTAGATCTATGTTTCCTTACCATCCAGCTCTCCAATTTTGATCATGAGAGTCACTCACCATTTGATTTTAGATCCAACGACTTAAAGTATTTTATTTTTAGTTTTTTTGTATACAAATTGTATAAATATGAAATTTGGTATGTGCCATCTTTTCATTGAGGCGCACCTATAAAAAATAGTAAAAATAATTTTTTGATAAAATATGATGATCAAAATACCTTTTGAAACTTTCAAGTATATTTTGGTCATTTTATTTTATTAAAAATATTTTTTTATATTTTTTTACTAGTGCGAGTTTAATAGAGGATTGGACATCCAAACTTTGGTGTCAAAATAGTTTATAAAAAAATTAAAAATAAAATAGTATAGAGATGTGACATTGTGATTGAGGCAATCTTAACCCTCCGTGGACCCTTTGATAAGGGGAAGTATTTAAGTTTTATGCAGAAGCATAGAAAACTTGCCTTTTTTTTTTTTTTAAATGGTAGTGGGGTGGTGCCAGTGAGAATGGAAACGCAACGAGGTGATTAGGATGGGGATATTACCACTGCGACTTGAGCCCCTTATATAATTTCTTGTGTTTTACTTATTGCTTCGTGGCACTCAAAATCAAGCGTTTTAAAAGGATGCGGTTTCTATGTGGCCAAGTTCGTATATGTAGAAGTGCGGAGTTCTTAATAAATCTATTTTTGAGATGGATTTTAAGATTTATTTTTTAAGGACGTGCAGTCTCTAACATGGAGATTATGGATATGAATAAATAAATAAATTTTTAAAACTAAAAATAATAATTCGAGTAAGAAAATATTTGGATTCGTCAGTTTCGTGTTTAGATGGAACACTTGTTTGCATCCATCTTAAATAGGGATGTTTTACACTTTTTGGACCGTATATGTAGAAATGCGGTCCAGCCTGCATGAAACTATTGTCCTTTTTAAAATGGACCTGTCAAATTTGTTGAAGTGCGAAGCCTGGTCTTAGATTATTTTTTGGGCCCCTAATTTTAAGGATGAAGAGCCTAGTGATCGACCATCAAGAAAAAATAAAATAAAACTGAGAATGGTTTCTTTTTTATCTGGTATTTTAGGAGGGGAAGACTTGAGTCACAATGTCACAAAGTAAGTGTGAGATCTTGATCCGGCTCAGAGTTTTCTATTTTTAGTTTGTATTTTAGAAATCAATTAAAACAAAATTTGGGGAATGCATAGATTTGATAGGGGAGTGCATAGATTTGATAGGAGAGTGCATGGTAAAAATAATAATAAGATATTTTTTATGATATAAATTACAAGAATATCCTTAAAAATTTTAGGGCATTTTGGTCATTTATTTTTATAAAAATTATTTATTTTTTTCTTTTTTCAGGTCCGTCTTAATTTTATGATGGGACATCCAAAATTCCATCTCAAAATATTTTATAAAAAAAAATGAAAAATAAAACAGTGTTTGGCGCGACATTGGGGTATGACCAATTGTAGCCATTTGATTTTCAGATCGAATGGTTAAGAAATGGGATCACATATTACTTATATGTTGTTGGGGTCACAAAAAAAACATTTCCCTTCTAGGACCCGCTTTAAATTTTTTGCATCATGAAAATCCTTTTATATAGGTCTTTTGCTGGAGGAAGTAGGTGTATGGTGTGATCCAGTCGCCGTATGGAAGTAGGTGTATAGTGTGATCCGGTGGCAGTATATCATATGTACTTAGTGTTTTTTTCTTCAATCCTTAGGCTTCCGATGGGGCTCGCGATGGGAGGGATGGCCTAACACGGCCCTTGCCTTAAAAAGACATGGCCATGGCCCCAAAATTTGGCCCAATGACCGGGCCCAATATGGGCTACCTTATTATAAGAGCCTTAATTCCCTGACCCTTGGGCTGGGCCCAATGTGAGCTACCTTATTGCAAGTGCCTAAGTTCCTCGACTGATGGATCTGGCCCGATTTGGACCAAGATCTATGGCTACCTTGACGAACCTTTTGTTGAGATAAAGTAGGATTAGACATGATCACATGATTTCAAGGGATTGTCTACGAAGAGATTATTTA